ACACCATCGAAAGTTCTCCTAACGCTTTGATGATGGCTTTTCAACAAGGTCCACCAGTTTGTTCAACATAAACAATATATTTTCCCCAAATTAAGTTCCATATGACTCCCATGGATTCAGTTAGGGTTGTAACTCCCATTATAAATGTCAATTAGTTTTATTATATAAAAATGGAACGTGATGATCGGAATATGCCCTCATGTAAGTGCAAATTTCGGCCACCACATTTATTTCCCATTAGTAAAACTCGAGATGCAAATGAATGGAAATGGAAGATTATAGCATTTTATTGAGCTCAGATTTCACTTACAAAAAGCGAAAGCTCACTGCTTACGTCTTCGGAGCGCTGACGTGCTTAGCGTATCACATTCCTTTCGGGATTTTTATTTCAGAACCATCGGAGACTAATCGGTTACTCGAAAAATCTCCAAAGTGCCCTTCAACGAGGAAAATAACCCCTTTAACGAGTCGAAGTTTGGGCAGCGTTTCTTCAAGAGGGGATTTTCCGGATCTCAGTTATCAAAGACTTGTATCGTTACGTGTATGAAAGCTGCTGAGGCTTCCTGCTGGCGATGATCGCGCATCAAATTGCTATTTATGGATATGCAGCTTAATTATTAGTTCCTACTGCTGCTGCTAAGCCTGTTGCCTACAATTACTTTGATGCTTACCCGAATGTAGCAGTTACTCATATGCAAAGCGACGCCTGTAATGATAACCCTATGAAGATCGCAGTTTGGCTCTATCTATTGGTCTTGCAAACCCGTTTTTCAGATACGGTGGATGAAATTGGGCGGTGTGGGTCCTCACCAGGGGTTGCTATCCCAAAAAACGAACTTACCTCCGTGGAAGGGCAACTGTTTCCCACTGAGCGGTTCTTCTTTCCAGACCCTTCCCACTCAGTACAGTAAGCCCGAAGTTTTTACATTGTAAGCTTAACTCTTACTCCTTGATATACGTCGTCTTGTGCATGATGATAAACTTCGGGAAAGAAGAGTGGTTCGATAGCGACAGAAAATACCCTTTCTGGGAATTAGGTTAAGGGTCATGCATGGGTGATGACTGACTTGTCCCTTAATAGTGTTTTCTACGAGAAAACTCGATCGTTACGAGCCCTTCTGGCCCAAGTGCTTATTCCGGGCCTAAAATCTCTCGTCATACTGATCATCGTTCACTGTTATCCCTAACCAAGTGGAAATCGGGTAGCCTACCATGTTGGATTCTGCCCAGTTGTTCGTTTTGCTTGACGGAAATGCCGAGGTAGCAATGGAGCGAGGCGTGAACGGCCCATTATATTGCATTGCACTGTGAGTTGCATTTTTAGTCGTCCTTCGAGGAGTATGAGATTCTTTGGAAAACCCTCTCATCAGTTCTCCCATTCCTTTTATCGATGGATACGGTGTCATCAGAGACGCTTTGGAAAGCACAAAAAGAATCAACTGGCAAACTCTTCAGTGAATGTTGCTTTTTCCTCAGACATTTTCTCATGAACAGTCATCTTGAAATGACTGATTGACTGAAGTACTTGTTTGATTCCGTCGCCGAGAAGATGGACATGCAAAGCTGCCAAAAGAACAGCTGTGACAATTCCCCGACATCAAGTCATGTCTCGCCTTTTCCTTTCGACAACCGGAGCAGAATCCTTCTGGTCGCTGTCTAGTAACTTCATGACGACCGAGTTTTTCAACCACTTCTCTTGTTGGTAGTCCCGGTTGTTGTTTAGTAAATTCACCGCGGCTGAGTTTTCGGATCGTTTCCCTTATTGGTAGGTAGGGAAGGTCGTGGTTTCCTCTTATCAGAAGTATGTGTTACCGAAGCCCCTTGACAATCTCGTCAAAGTCTATCCAAGGGTGGCACTGCTGCTTTTGGTGACTAAGGCATCTAACAGACGGTTCACGCCCGCACAGCTTAGTGCAGCCATGTTTACGAGTTCAGATTTGGCCAATTCCAGCAGATATGTAGCCATTAGGGTTTTCTACGGCGGATAGAACACTTTATTTGGAACTAAGGATCTTTTGAAAGATCGTTTTTGAGATTTTTGATTTCTTAGAAGTTTTTCGTGATACCAGCTGTTTTCGTAAACAGCACATTCCAAACTTGCTGTGAATCTATGAAATCAGATTTGTTACCGAAACCCTTCTCTGACGTAATCGAGTCCGTCTTGCAAAACACTTACGTGTATAAAAAACACCTACAAATTGTAATTAAGACGTGTTTTCAAAATTATTCCTTTTCTGAATTCTGGACTTACTCATGTGAGCAGGAGTTCCTTTGTTTTCGATAATGTGGTGCTGTGAAGCACCTGCTCTACTATAATTGAGCTTTTGGAAATGGCAAGTTGCCAATTGAAAGTCGCTGCAATCAATGGTGGCAGAATTTTGAAGAATCTGAAGGTTTTCTTTCATACCGTCTTCAAATGGATGCCACAGACTGTCATAATAACCCCTTATTACGAATGCCGAACCAGTCGAGCAGTCATCACCTGCTTCAATTGAAGAAATCATAAATTTCCGGTAGATTGACCCACAATTGGTCCCTGCAGCTGAGGTTCTTCTATTCTTCTCCAATCTTCGAGCTTCGATTTGCACATTCACCCTAGCACGCTTGCTGAAGCCGTCATTCTTCCGAAGGATGGACCTTAGTGAGATCGATTTCCAGGAACAGACTTACCTGTCTTTGTATAGTCTATCTAAGCAAAAGCACCTCTATGAGGGTTCATTTTCTTTGCTTTTTGCAGCCTGATGTACTCAAATCCGAAAAAGCTATACAACAAACTTTCTGCTGAACCTAATCAGGCCTCAGTACTAACTTACAGACTAGCAAAACCAATCCATTTACATGAAGTCTATAACCTCTCATTCTGTCGGATCCTCAGACTCCTTGCTCAGGACACGTCTAGGCCTCATCTTCAGATGTTTGAGCTGTCAAAATTGTTTCCGTCGGAGTTCGTGATAGCAAAGGTAGAACACTACGTTACTACGGAGGCTTCCATCTCCACTTTGGGCATACTGAGTTTTCTTGGCAGGACCGCCGTAGAGTTCTTTGTTTTCAGTAGTTTGCGGTTATGTGAAGCTGAGAACTCATTGGAGTTCCGTGATATTGAGAGAGGGCGGAGCCACGCGCGTTCAAATTGCCGAGCAGCGACCGCCTCCTTCAAAGCACCCGTCAAGAAGGACGACGTCGTGGTCGACCAATCCCCCACCCTCCACTGGCTGGCTGTCTCCACTGGCTGTCCCTTTGACATCAAAGGAAGACCAATTAACTTCTTGCAATGCTCCAACTACAACATATTCAATGAGTTCACTTCCGCATGTCGTCGTCGACGATGGGCGGCCGGGCTGAACTACGGCCGCCTTGTCCCACCGCCGACGCTCACTCACTTCTATTTGCCTATTCTCCGATGGATCTCGTTACGTTCCCACTCGTCAACTTCATTCAATATCGATTGCTTTGTTTGAAAAGAAATCTGCTGATCCTTGTGTCTGTGAAGTTCTTCTAGCCTAAGATTTTCCAATCCCGACCTGGTGGAGACACTTCCCATCAGCGTTCTAGTCTTGTTTCTATGGGGGCTCTTACCGATACCGATTCGATTCTTTTTACCGATTCTTTTTGATTAATCCTACGCCAGAACCATTGTTCCCTTGCATGTCGTTCCGTTCTTTGGCCGAAAAATTCATTAGTGTGAGGATGAGCAGCTATTGCAACCAAAAAATGGACGGTTCCAAGGGTGGGGAAGGCTCTTCTGGTATCTGAACGGGAATTCGGTTCTGTGATCAGGATTAGGTGTCAGGAGGGTTGATGGCTAACTTCAACGGGAACGGAAAGCCCAGGTCTTCAATCGCCATTTGGGTGCTGCTGAGTGGAAATGCAATTGAAATGAGTATGATGCTTCTTTGTGTGGGTTAGAACAAACTGAGACTCCGGACCTCTTCTCAGTTTGCCTTAATAGCGCCATAGTCTTTCCTGCCTGTCTAGAAACTCCTGATCTGGACTAACTTAAGCCTGGTAGTTCCTTTGATAATCCTTTCCATGGAAACTTGATGTTTGTCATCTCTACCCACCATTGTTTACTTATGGAAAGTGTTTTTTCATCAAATAGGGATTCTCGGTCTGTTTTTTGCGCAAAATCTCGTGCCGACCGTATCGATCGCTATTGATTTCCCTTCGATTCTACAGAACTGCCACAAAATCTTCGCCAATACTGAACCGAGACCTATGAGCATGGTTAATGATTATTTGATGTT